GAAAAAAGAACTTTATAACTGCTCTACGTTCTGGAAACATGTTTTGTATTAAATTTCAGGTATTGTTGAAAGTTTTTAGCTTTTTTCCTTGTTGAAATACAGCTATTTAGTGGTCGAAAACAGATATCTTTTAGGCGGCGTATTTTCCACTCCATACCTACATGGCGGCCATCATGAGTGGCTTCAAAGATGGCGGCCAAGTTATCGTTCCAGTTCTCTTAGAGCTCACTGGTCGTTGATGTGTTGTAAAATGAAATCAGGACAAATATCAGGACAAAATACGATGGAAATATTATATTATTAGTTTAAAATAACGGTGAATGGTTACGGGACAATTTGGTTATTATTATTCAGGATTGTGCAACTTGTAAGTTTATATTGGAATGGAGTTTCTCTTATATACACTGGTATTTGTTTATTCATAACTATATATTACGTACATGTGTAATGAGTGTATTCATTTTACGAGTCAAGCTCGAGCCCGAGTCAAGCTCGAGTCACGAGTCCAATTCGAGTCAAGCTAAAAATTTCTAACTGCATGTATACAATCATCCACAGACTCTACACAGTACACACTTCCCAGAAAAAGCTTTCTCACACCCTCGACACACCTCCGAAATCAACTGTTATACTTTTTGTTTATCTCAAAAACGAAGGTTACCAGCCTGTGTGCGGGTTATATATATGAAATTGAAACAGTGGCCTCTGGTGGTATAGTAAAAGCATAGTTTTCTTAAAAAATGTTTGCAATCTGTTTCAATCATATTATAAAGTTAAGCAGTTTTTCATGTACTTGTCTTTTAAGGTCCATACAGACTGGACGCGATTCGGGAACGCGACGCGAATTTTCAATTTTCAATTACATTTAACTTCAATATTTTTCTATGTTTTTCAAATATTCGGAACCACTTAAGCAATTTTAACTATTTGGTTTGATATCTTCTAAAATTTTTAACCGTTCACAGTTTTATTTGTTTTTAAAAACTGAAAATTACCGCTACACATATAACAGAGAGTATCTGATTGGTATAACACAATAATAATTAAGGAGTTCGGAATTAAAAAACTCCTAACTACCGTTGCTATGGCAACAATGACGTCACAACATGGCGGATATTTTAAGTTTAAAATAACTTAACATAGTTAAAATTAGAGTAAGTAATACATTTCTTTAGGTCCAAAATTATGGTATTTCAATAATATTCAAAAATAGGCTTTGCAGAGCCTGCACAATCGGTTGTTGGCTTACCCGCTCGCAAATTAGGAATTACGTACCGGATTTCTCACAAACAGTATTCCCATAGTCGTTGTCTCACTCAGGGGCGTAACTAGCCCCTTTTGATTGGGGGGGGGGTGTCTGGTAGAATTGCCCGACGAAATCCATGATGCCCTGGGGGGGGAGGGGGGCTGTGTGCGGGGGGAAGTCGAAAAAATTTTTTCCGCACATTCAGAAAAAGGGGCAAAAAAATTTTTTCCGACATACACCAGTTAAATTAAAGGTAAATTATTTTTTGAGCAATATCTAAAATTTAAAATCTTTCATTGCCCTGCCCGTCCAGATGATTTAAAGCCCTGCCCATCCCGATGATAAGTTTTTGCCCGACGAGAGTACCGTTTCGAAAGATTGGGGGTGAGACACCCCCCCACCCCCCTGTAGTTACGCCCCTGGTCTAACTTGTCTGTACACTGGCTCGTCCACAGTCCCACAAATATATAGCGGTTCCATGGCCTCTGCCGTAAAAGGACGCCCAGGCATATGGGAATAAACCATCGCATTCCCATTTTATTATTCAACGCAATATAAGCGACTGGGCTGAGTCAGGTTTGTGGAACAACAAACAACAAGCGACGGTGAGAATGTAAATACAGTAAGATGCGCAATTTCATAAACAAGACATAAAGTATACTTACCTGCATTAAAATTGAAAATTAAACTATAAAATTTGTCAAATTAACGTTAAAAGCGCAAAAACGAAGTTTATAGGTTGATCATGACTCGAAATTGACTCGTGACTCGTGCTTGACTCGTGACTCGTGCTTGACTCGTGACTCGTGCCTGACTCGGGCTCGAGCTTGACTCGTGAAATGACCAAACTCTGTTGTGGAAGGGGGAGGAGGGAATCTACGATTTAACTATCACAGAGGCAAATGAAAATTTTATTAACAAGTTATATCCATGATTGTAGTACGAAACCACAAAGTACATTTTTCGTACACATGGCACTAACTTCAAGACGAAAGGCCATCGCTCAAAATTTCATGTTTCTTTTTCCAATTTTCAATTTTTAGAGAGAGAATTATCTGCACAAGCTAGCCGTTTGCATTCACCGCTATAACAATGGCCTTGAACATTAAAGGTAAAAAGGCTTGACAATCTGAAAAGTTCAAATTCTATAATTAAGCCCGTAAACTTATCATAAATGAACACAAGAATGTCGCGATTCTATCCACCTAATCCACTTCTATATGTCTTTGTTTCAGAACTACCAACAAAATGGGATTAAAGAGGTAGTGTATTCTAAAAATAACCTCAATGGCTTCCAAAAATAATATAACATTTCAAATCGCGAATCGCCAGTAATATGAAAAACAGTTATATTTTGGGAGATGTCTATGTTAGATTAGAAGAAATTAGAATCGCCATCGACCATTACAAAATTTTAACAAATTTGCACTGAAACTGCTAACTGGTCGGGGATGATAAGAAGCAATAGAAACTTAGGTGATACCTATCATACTTCAGGAGAATGGTCTACAAATGGTCTACACAAAGCCATTGACTATTACAAAAATGGACTACAAAGTAGCACTGCTATTGGCGATCGATCAGGAATAGCAAGAAACAATGGTAATTTGGGTAATGCCTATCATAGTTTAGGAGAATATCAGAAGGCCATTGAATATCACAAAAAAGTTCTAGAAATAAGTACTGCTATTGACGACCGGTCAGGAATGGCAATCAGCAATGGCAATTTGGGCAAAGCCTATAATAGTTTAGGAGAATATCAGAAGGCCATTGACTATCAGAAAAAAGATCTAGAAATAAGCACTGCTATCGGCGATCGATCAGGAATAGCAAGAAGCTATGGCAATTTGGGAAATGCCTATCATAGTTTAGGAGAGTATCAGAAGGCCATTGACTATCACAAAAAAGACCTAGAAATAAGCACCGCTATTGGCGATCAATCAGGAATAGCAAAAAGCAATGGCAATTTAGGCAATGCCTATCATAGTTCAGGAGAATATCAAAAGGCCATTGACTATCACAAAAAAGATCTAGAAATAAGCACTGCTATTGGCAATCGATCACGAATAGCAAGAAGCAATGGCAATTTGGGCAATGCCTATAATAGTTCAGGAGAATATCAGAAGGCCATTGACTATCACAAAACAGGTCAAGAAATAAGCACTGCTATTGGCGATCGGTCAGGAATAGCAAGAAGCAACGTCAATTTGGGCAATGCCTATAATAGTTTAGGAAAATATCAGAAGGCCATTGACTATCACAAAAAAGGTCTAGAAATAAGCACTGCTATTGCCGATCGGTCAGATATAGCAAGAAGCAATGCCAATTTGGGCAATGCCTATGATAGTTTAGGAGAATATCAGAAGGCCATTCACTATCACAAACAAGATCTAGAAATGAGCACTGCTATTGGCGATCGATCAGGAATAACAAGAAGCAATTGCAATTTGGGCATTGCCTATCATAGTTTAGGAGAACATCAGAAGGCCATTGATTATCACAAAAAAGATCTAGAAATAAGCACTGCTATTGGCGATCGATCAGGAATAGCAAGAAGCAATGCCAATTTGGGCATTACCTATGATAGTTTAGGAGAATACCAGAAGGCCATTGACTATCACAAAACATATCTAGAAATAAGCACTGCTATTGGCGATCGGTCAGGAATAGCAAGAAGCAATGCCAATTTGGGCAATACCTATGATAGTTTAGGAGAATATCAGAAGGCCATTGACTATCACAAAAAAGGTTTAGAAATAAGAATTGCTATTGGCGATCGATCAGGAATAGCAAGAAGCAATGCCAATTTGGGTAATACCTATGATACTTTAGGAGAATATCAGAAGGCCATTGACTATCACAAAAAGGATCTGGAAATAGGCACTGCTATTGGCGATCAATCAGGAATAGCAAGAAGCAATTGCTCTTTGGGCGTTGCCTATCAGAGTTTAGGAGAAAGTGAGAAGGCTATTGACCATCACAAGAAAGTTCTAGAAATAAGCACAACTATTGGCGATAGATCAGGAATAGCAAGAAGCAATGCCAATTTAGGCATTGCCTATGATAATTTAGGAGAATATCAGAAGGCCATTGACTATCACAAAACAGATCTAGAAATCAGCTCTGCTATTGGCAATCGGTCAGGAATAGCAAAAAGCAATGCAAATTTGGGCATTTCCTTTTATCATTTAGGAGAATATCACAAAGCCATTGACTATCACAAAAAAGATCTAGAAATAAGCACTTTTATTGGCGATCCATCAGGAATAGCAAGAAGCAATGCCAATTTGGGCAATGCCTATGATAGTTTAGGAGAATATCAGAAGGCTATTGACTGTCACAAAAAAGATCTAGAAATAAGCACTGCCATTGGCGATCGATCAGCAATAACAAAAAGCAATGGCAATTTGGGCAATGTCTATTATAGTTTAGGAGAATATCTGAAGGCTATTGACTATCACAAAAAAGATCTTGAAATAAGCACTGCTATTGGCGATCGATTAGGAATCGCAAGCAGCAATGGCAACTTGGGCATTGTCTATCATAGCTTAGGAGAATATCAGAAGGCCATTGACTATCACAAAAAAAATCTAGAAATAAGCACTGCTATTGGCGATCGATCAGGAATAGCAAGCAGCAATTCCAATTTGGGCAATGTCTATAATAGTTTAGGAGAATATCAGAAGGCCATTGACTATCACAAAAAAGATCTAGAAATAAGCACTTCTATTGGCGATCGATCAGGAATAGCAAGCAGCAATGGCAATTTGGGAATTGCCTGCAAAAGTTTAGGAGAATATCAGAAGGCCATTGACTATTACGAAAAAAATCTAGAAATAAGCACTGCTATTGGCAATCGATCAGGAATAGCAAGTAGCTATGCCAATTTAGGCAATGCCTATAATAGTTTAGGAGAATATCAGAAGGCTATTGACTTTCACAAAAAAGATCTAGAAATAAGCACTGCTATTGGCGATCGGCCAGGGATAGCAAGAAGCAGTGGCAATTTGGGCAATGCCTATATTAGTTTAGAAGAAGATCAGAAGGCCATTGACTACCACAAAAAAAATCTAGAAATAAGCACTGCTATTGGCATGCGATCAGGAATAGCAAGCAGCAATGCCAATTTGGGCATTGCCTATCATTGTTTAGGAAAATATCAGAAAGCCATTGACTGTCACAAAAAAAATCTAGAAATAAGCACTGCTATTGGCGATCGATCAGGAATAGCAGCAAGCAATGCCAATTTGGGCAATGCCTATGATGGTTTAGGAGAATATCATAAGGCCATTGACTATCACAAAAAAGATCTAGAAATAAGCACTGCTATTGGCAATCGATCAGGAATAGGCAGAAGCAATGCCAATTTGGGAAATGCCTATTATAGTTTAGGAAAGTATCAGAAGGACATTGATTATCACAAAAAAGATGTGGAAATAAGCACGGCTATTGACGATCGATCTGGAATACCAATAGAAAGTTCCCGTCGATGTTTTGGAGAGTATGAAGTTGCAACATCTCACCTAATAAAAGCAATTAGTTTTTTTGATGAAATGTTTTTAGATTCAGTTCCAGAACAAAATCAACTGGCATTCGTGAAGCAATATTTTGAATCTCATACAATTTTAATGAGTTGTTTCCTTTCGTTGGAGCGCGTTGCGTCCGCATTATTAGTCATTGACCTTGGTAGGTCTAAAGAGCTCCATTGCTGTATTGAGAAACGTAGGAATTCGGTTGGTAAGGGCTTGTTCGATTATGCTCGCGCGATATGGAATAGAATTGAGGCCAGAGAAGAAGAAATAGAAATAGAAGGATTGCACACACTTCTCCAACTACGAAAAAATAACACCATCATTCTAGTATTCGCTTTTGGCTTGCAAGGTGGTCTTAATGCTTGGGTTGTAACCGACAAAGTTATCTTCAGAAAAGTATTAGACGCACGTCGGGAAACATTTCTTCTGCTAATTATGGAACTTCTTGGAAGGGTAGATGTTAATATTGATCGAAATTCTTCTTTTTACATGCTCGATTCAGTTGCTAGTACTAAAGATCAAGTGATGTCTCCTATTGAGTTTCCAAGCGGACAGCCTGCTTCTAAAAACGCGGTTAACAATCCTGCTAGCTATAGTAATTTCTCTGATCGAAACATTTTGGAGATGTTGTTTAAACTTTTAGTTGATCCTGTAGAAGATATTATTAAAGGCAATAAGCTCATTATTGTCCCTGACCCGCTGTTGTTTTTTTCACCATTTTCGGCACTCGTTGATGAAAATGGCTCATATTTATCGAGCCGTTACAGTGTTCAAATTTCACCTTCATTGCATACTCTAAAGTGTATGATGGAACAATCCTTTGACTCAAACTTTGGATTTGCATTGTTTGTTGGTAATCCAACTGTTGGAAAAGTTAGTTTAAACGGAAAAGATGTTGCACCGGCTGACCTGCCCAATGCTGCTGAAGAAGTTAAATGTCTCTCAAAGCTTTTCCAAGCAAGGCCTTTACTAGGACGCGTGGCAACAAAAAAGGTAGTATTGCAGCTTTTAACTGGGGCTAGTATAATCCATATAGCTGCACATGGAGAACCGACTCGAGGTGAAATAATGCTTGCTTCAAATTCGTCTCTTACTGAGCCGCGCTTGTCTATTCCTGAACCAGACTCATACCTTCTCACTCAGCGAGATATTCTAAATAGTTCCGTGAGAGCTCGCTTGGTAGTTTTATGTTGTTGCCATACTGGGCAAGGTGATATTACTTCAGAAGGTGTCATAGGTATAACTCGAGCGTTTCTTGCAGCTGGGGCACGCTGTGTTCTTGCCACACTGTGGCCTATTAGCGATTATGCCACAAAGGAATTCATGGAGAAATTTTATGGTGAACTTTGCCAAGAAACACCAGTTTGTGAAGCTTTACGAAGAACAATGAACTTTTTCCAGACACATGAAAAAGAGGAATACCGATCCAGTTGGATCTGGGCTCCGTTTACCATCTATGGGGAGGATGTGAAGTTCGGAAAAGATGAGATTGAAATAATTAGGGGAAAATCACATGAGTTTTTTTCCGGTTTCGTCGTGGTTTGACTATGATCATAAAATTTGTGACTAGCGTTTTCTTTAACTATTCTTGAAATCTTTAGCAAGCATCACCCGAATCATTTAAACGTCGTCGACCTTTAACTTAGTCTAACTCGTAATCATAGCATGACTTTTACTTTAGGCTGAGCATTCTGTTATTGTATGTTGCTAGTGCAACTTCGAATGTTCAGAATGGTTAAATGTAGCTACATATATCAATTGTTATTTCGATAGTTAGTTTGTCTAGGAAACGGTTGGTTTGATTGAGTTACGTTGGTATTGATCAAATGTTTTAGCTTATCTTGTGCTGACAATGGACAGAAAACTATTCTGTGATAAAAATAATGTCAAATTTTTACCGTCCTTGGTTGACAGGAAAGTAGTAGACAGGACCGTGCCAACCGGTTCCTGGTTGGTAGGGGGTGTTCCAAAAATTGGGCCCCCTTCAATTCCAGGCCCTCTCAAAAATGTTTTTCGGAAAGCAAATTTTTTTCGGGAAAATGTTAGCGACGGCCGAGGCCAGGGCTCCCCTCCCCGCAAGTTGAGTCCCCTTTTTTACATTTTTGGGGGGCTGTTACACCCCCGAGGTGGCACGGCCCTTGTAATAGACTTAGACCTGTTAGTGGAAGAGAGGTTTCATGACATTAAAGTCGCCAAGTTGCTGTAGTTGGTACGTGCTTTTGAGAAAAATGGCAGAGGAATATATTTGAACTTGGAAGGTGTTGTGCAGAACGTGTTTGCGTTGGCAAGCGCAGAATCTGACATTGCGATGGCGACTTCACCTAGTTGCTGTACTGTTCACGTTAGTAAAGTAGTAGACAAAATATATTTTTGCGTTTGTGATTTACAGTTGCTTGGCCGTTGTTGCAGCATGAGCTCCACCTTTGAATTTGTACTATATTACTAAATTGTTAAATAAACACGTCCGAATTTATCAATACAATAAATTTGCGACACATCTTGAGCCCTAACTCTTACCCCTACCCCCGACCTCTAACACTAGTCCCTAACCCTCATCTTAATCTAACTCTATTCTTTATCTGACCCTAATCCAAATTTTTGAAAATCCAAATTATGTGGAATCTGAATTACTTTATTTAAACTTATAAAGATCGCGCTTTTGGCTATGAAATAACACCTTTTTATTTCGTTGCGATAATAAATTTAATTAGCAAAGACGACCAGTTTTAAAGTGGTTGGACGAAATCCCATTTTCCTACCTTTTGGAATTTCAATTTTGAACAAATTTTGAAGAAATACTAGTTTGGCATAGCGAGTATAAAGTGCAAAGTTTCAGGTTTTGAGATGTTTTATATTTCGTTGTTAAATAGCGATATAAAATTTACTAAGATTTGATTATCAACCCATACCATAGTCGCCTTACGCCATGTTTGTTTAAATTTTTAAATTGGAATCCAATTTTAAAATGTGAATAATAACACTGTTCCCATCTATATCAATTGTCTATTCTTTCTTTTTTCTTGGCGGAAAGTTGGGGTGGGCTTACCCTTCAGGCCACATCGCAAGTTCTGCGATCCCTTGGATATAAAGCAGGCATATTATTATACATAGGTCAAATCACTGGCAATAAAAAGCAAGGCATTGTTTCGCCTAAGTGAAATTTATTTTAAATAATCTATTGACAATCAATCAATCGTTTGCCCCCTTTCACGCTTTCGAAATACGTGTTGTGGTATGGATATTTAGTTGATGATGTGTTAATTAACGAACTTCTTATTAACCAAACGCGAGGTCTGTACAGAGAAATATCGGACCGAGGTCTTTTATGTGAATGAAATGTAAGCTAAAAAATTTAATTAGCGAGGTTTTTAGCAAAAAAGTTCGGTAATCAGGTCAGGTCAAAAGACAATTGGTGGTGAAGACATACATAGTTTGAATGTTGATATAATATTCAGTCCTTACAGCAAATACTCTGCCTTCGTCACATAAATGGCTGCAAAGTATAAGAATATGTTTAATTTATATTTCAACGTAGTTCTAATAATATTTTAAGTGTATATTTTAAAGTACAGTAGATCTTTAAAATATACACTTAAAATATATACCTTACTGAGTATTTTGCTATCCTGCAATATACACTGTTAATTTCAAGGAGTTATTTTAACTCCACCATAAGAGTTAGACCTACTCCACTCAGGAGAGTAAAAATTGTGGAGTAAAATCTACTCCCGAAATAGTGTTAAAACTACTCCACTTTGGCGCGCATTCCACAATTTACTCAATCGGGAGTAAATTTAACTCCACTGGACGAGTAAATTAAACTCGCTTCTAGGAGTAGAAATTATGGAGTAATTTTTACACCTTAATTTTACTCCAGGGCTAGTTTCAACTCCAAAAAAAGAGTAAAATGGTTCAGGATCTAGAGTAAATTATTACAATATAAAATTAATGCGCTTGAGAATTGAAGATGGCGGCTTTTCTCTAAAGCCCTGATAAAACGAGAACGCAAGCCATCGCAAGTTTTAAGTTGCACTTGCTTGTGCCTCGTTTGACCACCAACTTGCGTTGACTTGCGTTAACTTGCGAATGATTTGAGCTGGTTCAAACTTCATCGCAAGCTTTTTTAAACTTGCGAGCAATTGCGATACGTTTGATCAGACGTGCAAGCTCAAGCAAGTTTTTTGAGACCAGTTTCTATGGACACCATAGTCCCTAGTCTATAAAATGACCTTTTTCTGGTCTTCGCTTAATCTATTCTCTTGTCAGTTTCCACGTTTCCAAGCCTGAGACGTTTCGTCTTCATCAAGTTGAGAAAATAACACAATGATGTGGCAGCTTTTCGCTTCATTTTACATGGCATTTTCAAAAGTTTTTACATTCGTTTTAAATGAGTTTAAATGACGGCCATGTTTTGTTTAGATTTTTACAACTTTACAAAATTATCCGCACACGGGCCAAATATTGCATATTGTTGCGATAACTTGCGTATCGTTTGATCGGTCCCATCGCAATCCTGGGCAAGTTAGAACAAGTTTACTTGCGATGACTTACGTTCTCGTTTGATCAGGGTTTAAGTATTGAATACAGAAGCAAAAAGGACAAAGTTCGAGATATTTAATTTTACGTTTTTGGTTACTCGAATGTTGCCAAGTCAAATATATGCCATTGATGTATTTACCAGTAAATCGGCTTCAATCGCACGCGGTGATCGAATGTAGCAAAAAATTGTCAGCGAGCCATCTATATTTTTTATTTGCTGCGTAAATCTGTAAACTTGTGGCTTTCTCCTCCGCAGAGGCTTTTAAACAATATGAAATTCAAAGCGATTGAAATTCAAGAAGATATTTGAAAGCTAGAAGATATTTGAGATTGCGCTATTTCAATTCATTCGTATTTCATATTCTTTAAAAGCCTCTGCGCCTGTAGCCTGCGTGGCAGGCTCTCTGGGTTTGGCCAGGAGGCGATGATTTTCCTCCCATTTTTCACCAAACCCAGAGAGCCTGTCACGCAGGCTACATTATGTATGTAGATTAATGATGATGTAACAGAGTATTTTTTTGGCTTGTTAAAACTTGACTGGTAGAAGCAACCGTAACAATGTGTTGCAAATCTCTTTGTAGGAAAATAGGAGTTAAAATATCCATATATTTGAATCACGGGTGCACTTATTAGCGAATATTAGCCTACAACAACGCTGCCTGACGTTGTTCCTATTCAATATTTATAAGATTTGCTAGAGTCTTCTATCAGTCATATATAGTCTAGAAATGTCTGTTGATATTGTTTATTACAATGATATACAAGCAAATTCAAGAAAGTTTATGCAAACTTGACAAAGAAAAAGCGACCAAAATATTTATGAAATTGATTGTAGGTATCAGATTTCATCATATTTCAGTCGCGTATTTTAATGTCTTTGCTACTGTTCTCAAAACCGATATATGAAAATGACCTATATCTTGACATAAGCTAATGTTATTGATAAAAAAAAATTTACAGTTCTAAAAAGATTTGTTTTTAGGAATATATTAGCATTATATACAAAACATTTTCAAGGTGGCTTAGTTTTTATGCAAATTTGTATAAACTTTATTTGAAAGATGGAAACACCATATATATTGGAGTTTGTAACAGAATAAGCATGTTTATGTGTGTGACACACAGACGTAGTGATTGAGTTTTATATTTGTGAAAAATAAAATAATAAACTTTATCCAACATTCCGCAACGTGGATAAAAATCAATGGTGGCGAACAGTATGAAGCAAGCAATATCAGAACACAAAACTTCTGGAAATATTTTCACCGAATCACATTCCGATAAATCGATGATACATTTGAACTATTAATCATGAACAGGGCCGTACACAGGGGGGGGGGGGTAACCGCTTCCCCCAGAGAAAACTATATTTACAGATTTTTATAGAATGTCATTACTGTCATTACTAATGGTTCTTTAGATATTTAGGACTTTTTTCGGCATATAGGCCTTACTGCCCCCCCCCCCCCTGGTAAAATGATCCTGCTTACGGCTCTGATCATGAAAGCATATTACAGTATCTGGTGACACTGCTCACTATCTTGTCCTGTATTTGCGGAAAATGACGGTGAAATTCAACTACCATTTAGCGACTTAGTGGAACATTGATGAAAGCAAGCATTATAAACACTATCAACAAAATCTGAAACATTTGCTCCTGCCTTAACTTGGACGACATGCAGAACAATACGTATTCTTCATTCGTGCGTACTCTGAGCGAACAACGAAATTAGGAAAATGAATTAATGGATAATATACTAGCTATAAAGATTAATACCTTCAGCTGACTATTTCCAACAGAGTGTATTTCTGTCATGCCATTCTCGTTCAATAGAAACTCCAAAATCTGATGTTATTCAAGAAACCCAATTATATTAAACAGACGTGTAACATTGCAAAGGAAACGAGACGGGTTAATGTGATACTACAAAAATATGTACGCGCTAGCTGAGGATTAATCCTGGATTGAAAGACTAAATGTGAATAGTTGTTGTATATATTCTTTGGAGAAATATAAAACACCTGCCGCAAGCATCAAATGTTGGTTCCTGATTTACATCTTTAACGAGCGAAAAGCAAATATTTACTTTATGGGAAGGATTAAAGTTTTATTACGGTGTAACACTTGTTATTAATGGCACTAACTATAGATCATCTATGCTTGTTCGAAATACTGAAAATGACAGTCTTATTCTCGCAGTTTCAAAGGTTACCATATCAGGTGCTTCGAAAGCTTGAAAAACATCCTTGTAGGAAATCCGTCTAGGAATCCGTAGTTAACTCTTGCGGCTATATGACAGCTTTTGAAATTATATGGGATGAAACAATCATGGCTATGTTCGCACGAATGTGGTTCAATTGTGGTGTTGCTTGTACAAATGAAAAGTAGAAATTTATCAACGGAAACCCAATATCAGAAGAGCTAGAATTATAGGACTCTGCAAAACATCTACGAATATAATTTTTACCGTGCACAAGGTAGTCCAAGAACGTTGTCGGAAAGTTGGTAAAGGTAGATAACTAAGAACATATATGCATATATCAAAGTAGTTCTTCCTGGACACAGGCATAAATTTTAGAAACATTTACTAGTAATAATCGTTTAACATTCTACCATTTTATTGACCTTTTTTCTTAAGTAATGAATATTACTTGAATAAAGTGCGAGAGATGTTAGAATTTTCAAGAGCTGCTCAAGCTTTAAGATATCTTGTTAAACAAAGTGTTGGTGGGAATGTTGTTAAATAATCGTCACCATCTTCAAAGATGTATCCACAACGTTCAACCAAAACTTTATCAAAAGTAAAGTTTTGTATGCGTTCAGCTATTCGTTTCGCACCTGACACCTGTCAAACAATATATTATTTTAGATATATTCTAATATCTCTTAATGTTAAAAGTTAATATAAATGTTATGGAAATCATGAAATTCGAATTTCGAAATGGACCAAAAATATCGTATATATCAAACGATAGAACGTGTTTCTACTTTTAATGCAAGTTTTAAATGTGTACACGTGTACAAATGAATTTCAAATTGTTAAAATATATACTGCTAAAAAGTCAAAGAGTCTTGTTTTGATAATTTTCAGTGAACGTGATTCATGGTCGACCTATGGAGCAAGTATAGAGAATGCACTGTAAATTTTTTGGAGTTGAGTCAAATATAAAAGAGTGACTTCGTCACCGTTTTTGGAGTTGATTCAACACGTTGAGTTGTTGCAAATCCTTGAAATTTACATCATGCACGAACATTTTAATTTAGAGCTATATATTCTCTAGGCCACTGATCCACCATCTACAGTTAATTTATTCATGAAAGAAATTATTAACTTGAATTCATTAATGACTTGGCAAATTGCTATCGTAGTGAAGTGAACCTAATGTACTATCTTCGATTGGTGAATTTAAATAAAAATAACATGCAATGATAGTGATTTGGCTTGAGTTTGAAGCATGTAATTGAGACCTTAGATAAAGGTATTTCGCGTGTTAAATCCATTTTTTATTCCCTTTTATTTTTCTTCCTCGTGTTCTTCTATTATTTACGTTCTTGTGATTTTATATAGATATATATTTATAAAGCGTTATCTGTACTTTCTCAAAGTTGTAGACAAGATATCGTGTTGTTCACGTCCAACACGCATAAGATTACATAACAATCTTTTGCGTGACAATCGATTGAGTGACATAATCGTTTGTCGTCATGATCCGTGTCGTTGAACACTGAAAAAAATTGTCGTAACATTAGTGACGATAAAATAGCTGTTTGTGAGAAAACTGCGGGTCTCCCGTAAAAATATTTCAGTTCCAAGACTTGGGAAATGAAAGTCAACGATATCGCGACGCAGCAAACGGTCTATGTATCAATTAATGGTAATAAACTAGTTACTTCTGTGCTCTACAAGCCTACTGACTCCCATAGCTATCTTCTATTTTCCTATTCCCATACCAAAAGGTCGATTCCCTTCTTTCAGATCCTTCGCCGCATTTGCCGTGAGGAGGACTTCCAAGCTAAAGAGCTGGAAATGAGACACTTTTTTGTCCAACATGGCTATCCCACCTCTCTCTTAGACACTGCCTTTTCGAAGGCCTCCCAAATTCCCCGATCTGAGACCCTTACATGTACACTACAGACCATATGTCCAATGTCACAGATTAACAACAAAATCCCCCTAGTATTATAGCTTATCATCTTTTTAATTTCAAAGTTAGAGATGTCATTTGGAAGAATTTCCATATTTTCAAAACGAGCCCAAAACATCTTCCATTTTCTCCAATAACCATTTAGTCTCTTTTCGAAAAGCAATAATATCCGTGAAACCCTAGCTCGAAACTCTCCATCAAAGGATTCGTCATCACAAAATGGCACGTTTCCTTTCCGGGTTGCAAAATACAAAACCTGTGATGTTATAGATTTTGCTACCACTATTTCGGCTCCAAAATCTCAATACCATGTCAAGACTGCAGCATCTATATTGGAGAAACTGGAAGGTCTTTCAGGACAAGGTTTCATCTGTCTTTGCCTGTCAAAAGCACAACTTGATAACACTTTCGATTCTTACCTTATTCCATATTTGTTTCATATATTTTGTTGTATTTGCTATAGGTGCATGGGAAAACAGCGAACTTTACTGCGAACGCAAAGGAAATGTTCTTAATATAATTTATTTAAACAATATTAATTACATTAAAATTCAATATTGATAATAATTTAGAATGATAATATTTGCATTATTAACTTGCCTCACGTGATTTAAAAAGTTCAACGACTTAATGCATTGTTTTTATAAACGAATGTTTGGCTGCATGCGAATACACAATGCAACAACACCGTAAAGAAGTTTTAAAACAAGTCAGAAAAACAACTCAAAACCTAGCTTTAGTTGGAATCAGAGTCGTCGCTAATAAGGACTCGTCGCTTTTTGCTTGTTGTTGGCTGATTGTTGTCGGTACTTTGCTCGCTTGTCACGTATACTAGATGTTTAAAGTACAACCTTTGATTTTCCCAATGGAAGCTCCAGAATACAGCCATGCAGAAACCTGTGAACTTACAGCTGAATTGGCGTCGTAATTCATTACAGGATTACTCATTAGTCATGGCGATACACCGAGAATTCGGAGTCTTTGCTGCACGGAATCGCTGTTGTTTTGGCGATGGGATGTCGATGACCTGCTCAAATCATTTGACATTTTACGTTGATGATCGCGAGAAGCCGTTTTGTAAGAATCAAGATTTTTAAGGTTTTTATGACCACTCAACTGAGCTACGTAATTGGTGGGGATATCTGCATCCATCAACCGGGAAGCACAGGTTTTTCTGACGCTGTGGTTGGTGATGTTGCCTTCGATGCCTGCGCTTTTCGCTGCTTTCGAGAGGAATTTTCCAATCTCGTTTTTACCTTTTGAAGGGAGCTTTTTGATACCACACTGGATTTTCTGGCTTTCGTTTGTGATTGATAGCGAGGAAAAACGGTGCTTCGGGGTCTTTCATTGGATCTGGTCGACCTTTCATAAACTCTCTGTAAAATCTTACAGGACAAAGTTCGCCGTTTGTTGCTTCCGCAGTGAGATTAAATGCTCGTTGCTGGCCATTTCCATTGCGTATTTTTTACCCTCGTTCAGACTGCCAAACTAAAAACTGACCGCCGTTTGCTTCGTATTCGCACAGTTTCACGTCGCCCCATTTTAGACGTCTACTTTCATCTCGTGCTCGAAACCCGAAATGAAGAGAAAGCAGCCACTATACGGTACGTTGCAGTGCTTCAGGATTGCTGTCGCCAAACTCGTCAAGGCGGAAAAGTTGATCTTCTTCGTCCACGGACCACGGTAAGTTCACGAGCAGCTTGTGGTCTATTTCCCTTAGCGTTTTTTGTTACCACCTCTTTTTTTTAGTCACAACACTTCTCCAGTTTTGTTAAACTCTTGATCTTTGAATACATTGATCGAAGAGTTTTTATCATTAAGATATCGTTGAATGCTTTTGAAAAAACATGTCAAAGTGTTAGGTTCATACGCCGTGCCATTTTTCTTTTTTGCTTGCATAAAGAAACGACAAAGGTGAACGTTCGGATTCAAAGTATCTTTTCCAGATATTCATGTCATATTTTGTTTTCTTCAGTGTGTTTTCAGGACGCTTTGCCTTTGATAAAATGAAATCTTAAATGGACTTTTGGACCACGGCCAAGATATCGTAAAAAGCCGCCCGCTGCTGCAGCCAATAAGATTGCAGAAAATAAAAAAATATCACTAGGCATGCACAAATAAAAAAATAAAATACGATATTATCTTTCAAATTGTGCTTTCAATGTTTCATGCAAACTGTATTTCAATCTTATCTAAAGTATTTGGAATGGCTTATCATAGGCTTAGTAGCAAAATATGCAGAGAGCAGATATAATATCGTCGACGTTGTATTTGCATATTTGTAACAATTTATAAAAAAGTCTCATTCGTCAAAGGGCAAAGAATAGCGGCGGCTAGTTATAATATTATTTTTAGTCTGCCAAGACAACTGGATGCTATTTCTAAATATTATTTAGATCTATTAGATCAGTGCTGGTATGTATATTGTATATTAAATCATAATAGTAAAGGGAATAAAGCCAAAATGATAATTTCGATTTATAGGCATCTGCCATCTTGAAAACATTATTCGGCAGGCGCTCTCGCCTGTAACCCGAATTTTCCGAACCTGTCCGAAATGCTCCCTAAGCGCCTGCGGAGGAGGTAGGTGAGAGTCAAATTTCGCACTGTCAGTGTCAAGTGCGCCAATATTTTTTGAGTCAGACAGCAGGCCGCAAAGCATCATGGGTATTGAGCGCCTAATTCCACGCGTGGCCTCATTGACGTTGATCATGACTGTCGAGGAGTGAACATCTCTCTGACTAAACCAATATGGAAGCTTTCGAACGACAAAAGTGTCAGTCTGACACTGTCAGATACTCTGTGAAAACAGCATATTGCTGTATTGTTGCGATCCTCATTATGACTTGTGTTTTACTATACCAAGTTTACCTTTTTTAAATTGCATGGGACATGCTGTCATTTTGAGTTTAGTTTATAAATAATCCGCCTGAGGTAAGGAATTGTGTTTATATAAATATTCCCAATAGCAAGGCTCTTCTTTCTATAACGTGAAAACAAGAGCATGCGCAGTATTTAAGGTTGGTATACTAAAATGCATTACAGTTATCTT